TCTCTCTCTCTCTCTCTCTCTCTCTCTCTCTCTCTCCCTCCCTCCCTCTCAGCAAAGTAGACAAAGTAAAATTGTCAAAGCTAAGGACAAGATTGTGCATTTCAACCAGGATGTCATATCTGCTAGGTTGCTGAAATCACTCAGAAGAATGAAGGGGGATTAGAGTTGGATCACAGTGAATTGTGTATGATCTGCCACTATTCGTATGGCTTCCAGATCTACAGACTCTAATATGCCCACAATAGTGTTTACCTGGTTATTGCATATCTCTGTAGACAGGTTGACAGGAACAGGGTAAGAAAGGATTAAATGATGCATACCATTAACCTTTCTTTTAAAACTTTCTAGCCATTATTTAGAATAAGGAAACATTCTCCTATGTTAAGTGTTTATAACCTTAGTATTATAATTTAGAGATGCAATATGGAGACTAGACTCAAAATAGTGAGTGTGTTTTTTCTTCCTTCTTTTTCTCCTCCCTTCCTCTACTTTTTCTTCTGTCTATTCTTCCAAACCTATCCCCCTGCTTCTTTCCTACCTACAGAAATACTTACCTACCTACCTTAAGAAGCCTTTGTCCAAATGAATGGGTCATGGTTAGAAAACAACTGAAATATTTAGTATCAAATGCTCCTATGTCTGTGTCTCACAGATGCACTGTTTTTAATGGGATATGACAGCTGATACTGGGATTGATGCCTGTCTCGCTCAGTCCCAATTGGCCAAACCCCAGCAGCAAGCTAACCTACCAGTCAGAGTGTCTGCCCCCTGGCTGTAAGTGCACATCATAGTGAGCAGTTGAGCAGCCTTAGCATATCATTAGCATATTATGCTTTGATTGGTTGAATGGCCGACTGGACGACTGGACACTTAGCATATTAGGCTTTTATTATATAGGATGAGAGTCCATAGGAAAAAAATGTTTATGTTAGAAAAGGCTCTTCTTCAAAAAGATCAAGAACCCATATCCTAGAATATTTATGTATGTATATATATTTGACAACTAATTATGCACTTAGTCACTTTCTGTTTTTTGTTGTGTGTGTTGTTTTTTTTCATGATGTTTTGGGCAAAGATATTGAGTAAAGAAAATGTCGAATAAAATATATAGATTTGATTATTAGCTTTAAAAATATCCTCTTGCAAATTACTATGTCTTAGAAAATTACTTCAATACAGTTTATGAAGCCATTTTGCAACTATCTAATTGAGAAGGAATTTAGAAACTATTAGTTTTCCTGTTCAAAATTTACTCTTATGAAAATGAAACATTTTCTTTTAAACTGCATCCAATTTATGCTCTAAATACATCCCCTAGGGAAGATGAGTGAGGAAAAAATGTGTTGGCATGTCCTATTGTTCTATTTAATTTTGTTTGCACAGGAACCTCTTGAAATCCTCACATGTAATTAAAACAATTAGGCGGTTTTGGTCAATAAACTCAAAAATAAATTTCATAGTGATAGAGTTATTAGAGGATTGACTCAATACTGATCTTGATCCTTGGGAAGGCTGATAACATTTTACTAGATATGTTCTTCAAGAACTATATTCTGTGAAGAATCTTTATTATTTACAGGCTACCATGGAAATACTACAAATTTTACAGTCAAAAAAGTCCGAGTTCAAATCTTCTCTGCCACAAAACATGTGGACTTTTACAAGACTACCCTACCCAAGACTTGATTTATCAAATGAGTATACAGATGCCTATATCATAAGTGTTTCCTGAGAATTAAATGGACTAACATATAGACAGTGTCTATAGGCTAGTGTGCAAACAGCTGTTTTTCTGTAGTACTTTGCAACACTGGACTTTAATTTTATTTTTTTTAAATATATTTCATTGATTTTTTACAGAGAGGAAGGGAGAGAGACAGAGAGTCAGAAACATCGATGAGAGAGAAACACCGATCAGCTGCCTCCTGCACATCTCCTACTGGGGATGTGCCCGCAACCCAGGTACATGCCCTTGACCGGAATCGAACCTGGGACCCTTCAGTCCGCAGGCCGACGCTCTATCCACTGAGCCAAACCGGTTTTGGCAACACTGGACTTTTAAAAAATGTTATGTATAAAGCTGAATACCTGAGTTAAAATTTACCATTTATTTTTCTTTAAAATACTTATTTAAATTAATCATCTTTTCACCTCTCTTACAGAGGTATAGCTGAATTTTCAACATAAAATAGGAGTAACATTGATTCCATAAGGATTTCAAGTTCTTGCAGTCTTTTATCTGATAATGTTGGAAGAAGAAATATATGTTCCTGAGACATGAAATAATACAATTTTTAGTATGTTTTTAGGATATTTCTATAGAACTGCCACCACTGTAATTATCCATTAAATATTTGTCCAAGAAGAGGAGAAAAGTATCAGAGGGACTTTTTACCTATCTAGTAAAAGAGAATCATTGGTCATCAAATTTTGGGATTTAGCAAAGAAATGAGAAAGCTATTCTATTTGAATCATTTTATGCTACTAATGTGCGTGAAATATATCAGGTTTTATTTCAGTTAATATGTGCAGGGATACAATTGTATTATGCTCCATTTTGCTCAGAATAAAGAACCAGTTTGTGCAAAAAGTAACTCATTGCTTCACAGAAAGGGTTGGTTTATTAATCACTGAAGTAGTTTTCCCTTGTCTACTCTCTAATTCAAACACTATAAAATTAAGTGCCCTCACTTGACCAAAAAATGTCATCCTGTATTTTAGAGGTGAATCTCATAATATGTTAACCATTTAAAAGCATATTATCTTAAAATTTGCCTCCAGAAAATATTTAAAATATTTTATCAAAATGTTATTTTTAATCCATCGCATTTATTCAAAATCATTTTATGGCTTTGTGTACTCTTACTAAATAGTATGAAATTGCCAACAACGTACTGGTACAATGTAATGCTTTTAAGTAGAAAGTGTTTAGTATTTAATAAGTAACTGATTAAAAATCTGTTATTGTTATTTATGTTAGAGACAGAATTTTTTTTTTCATTTCAGGATTTCAGGAAGGTTCTGCAGAAAAATGTTGTGGCTTATGTTAGTCTCCATAGTCCCATAAGGGGTAACTCAAGTCTATATTCTGTAGCTTCACCATCTCTTCAGCAACTGGTAGCAGAGGTAAGCTGAACCGCTTGTTATAAAGTGATTAGGCAAAACTGCTGTTTTCTCTATAATTTGAGATTTCTTGATATTTTTTAATTTAAATTTTTCATTGTTGACACTTTTGCAGATGTCTCCTATTCTCCTCCTTGTACCTACCTCCACCCAGCCTCCCCCCCTTCTTTATTCTTGTGCATTGGTAAAATAGGTGTACTAATTTTTCTTGGATATTTATCTAGTTGTGGAATTGCTAGATCATAGGGTAGGCACATATTTAACTTTTATAGATACTGTTAAAGATTCTCCAAAGTGCTTGTATCAATTGCACTATCACCATCAATGCATGTTTCCTGTCATCACCGACATTTAGTATGACTATTCTTATATGTATATGGTGGTATCATTTGGGTGTTTGATTTTAATTTCTCTGTTGATTAATAATATTAAGTACCTGCTTTCATATTCATATACTCATTGGCCATTTGGGTATCTTCTTCTGTGAAGGCTTATTTAAACCTTTTGCCTGTCCTTAAAAGAGAGTTGTTCATATTTTTCTTATCTGTATGTCAGAGTTCTTTATATATTCTCTATACAAGACTTGTGTTGGTTAAATATTGTGAATTGCTCTCCCAGTCTGTGGCTTGACTTTTCACTCTCTTACTGGTAGCAACACAATCTTTAATTATTAATCTTTCTTGTGGAAGTCTTCTAAACAGCATTTTTGGTTCTAGCATCTTATTACAAAGAACAAGTTGAACTTAATTTATTTAGTGTTTATGTTGAAGGAGCATTATAAACCTTTGTTATTCATTCTAATTCATGCACATTTGAGTGGTTACTATATATATGCTTTGCATTCTATTGGGGACTATGGGATATTCTATAGAAATGAATGGTGTTGCGCAGGTTGCTTAAATGAGTAGTGAATAAAGATTCTTTGTAATTGGAGAAAAACTCTTTCCTAAAAAATAATTTTCATTTGCTTCTTAACTGTAGAATAAAGGACAGACTGATCGGTGGCCTCTTAGTTAATAAAATGCAACTGCCTTTGAGCAATATAAGTTATGAAATGAAAGATAAAATAAGATTTATCCCCCCAAATAATTTTAAACATTAGGATGCAATACAAACACATACATCTCTCTATATATATTGCCATTCCACCTTTATTTTTTGAAATCATCCTTCATACATCACAGAATGTATTGATTTTGCCCTTGGAGAAACAGAATTTGATCATCCATATATTAGTCAGTGCTCTGTACATCTCAAATAAATAGTGATGACATTTCTAAGAGGTTATTTTAGGGAAGCCTGAAGCATCCGTACCTATGAAAGTAGTCAATCTAACTATAGTCTCCTTAAGTGTTGCTTTTGCATCACCTGCCAGAAGCTGGCAAACCTGATCAAAACTGAACAATTGCATCAATATTGTAAAACTGTCTACAGGATAAACAGTGTTGTTTTCTTTTTAAATTCTAAAAAGTTAGCAAAGATATATTTGTTTTATACGGCGTTTAAAAATAACAAACACATTTTATTTTTCCATATACCAGGAACTCTTCACCAGAAAATATAGTACGTATATCTCTTTCTACTACATGAGTTAGAGTATTGAGCCCATAATCCTACTACAGTATCACTTCATTGTGAATACCCCAACTGTTGCAGAGCTCTATTATATAATAAATTTTTGTAGACAATCCAACTCTGTATAACATTACTTTAAGTATGTAAGCACACAATAAGCATGTGAAATGCCTTGGGACTTATATTTTACCATGAAATCAAGGACACCAATGTATGCTTCTGATCCCTTCCAAACTCCCACAGCTATATCTGCCACAGTACTTGTACAACTGCTACTGACTGCCTGCTATAGTGCTGGTTTTTATTCTGCCGGACCATGCCTTTATTTTATAGGAGATATACAGAAAACATGTGAGGTATTTTAGCCCTAGAAGCTCATTAGTTTAAATTCTCCAGTTACCAGAAGCCTGAATTTCAAATAACAGAGTTATTAATTAACACGTTAACAGTTTTTCTTGATCTTATATTTATACACTATGGAATTAAAAAAAAGATATCGCTAGTCATCTAAGACATCCATAACAAAATACCACCGACTAGGTGACTTAAAGAACAAAACTTGATTTTCTCACATTTCTGGAAGCTGGAATTTGAAGATAAGATGCAGGTGGCATGGATTTCTCTTGAGGCCTGACTGGCAGATGGCCACCTTCTCATTGTGTCCTCACATGGCCTTTTTCTCTGTGCACACTCATTCCTGGTATCTCCTCCTCTTGTAAGGAAATCAATTGTTTTAAATTAGGGCCCTAACCTAATCTCTTTTAAATATATTTTACTTTATTTTAAAATATATTTTTATTGATTTTATAGAGAGGAAGGGAGAGGAACAGAGAGATAGAAACATTAATGATGAGAGAGAATCATTGAATGACTGCCTCCTACACACCCCCTACTGGGGAATGAGCCCACAACCTGGCATGTGCCCTTGACTGGAATTGAACCCGAGACCCTTCAGACCCCAGGCCGATTCTCTATCCACTGAGCCAAACCAGCTAGGGCAACCTATTTTACCTTTTTAAAGGCCCTATTTGCAAATATAGTCACTTTGGTGGTTAGGCTTCAACCCATGAATTTTGGGAGGACATTTAGTCCATAGTATTATTCAAAATGCACAGTGATAGAATATAGAAGATAGGGTTGTAGAAAGAAAATAGTTCTCTTTTCTTTCTCTTTATAGTTGATCATTTTAATGCAGAGAACCAAAACAAAGTTTAAATTCTATTCTGCTGGGTATAAAATAGAAAAGTAAAGTTGGCTTTGAAACATTCTTCTACTCATTTGTCTTTCATGATATATGACACAGTTTTGTTTTGATCTTTTGCTTTGTTTAATGTTTTTCAGATGAGAAATTCTCTGTAGTTTCTGTTCACTATGATTTTTTTCATAGTGCATTATTTTCAGGGCATTTTACTTAATCTTCCTTTCTGCTGCATCAATTGCTAGTAGTCAACTGAAGTGAACATAAAGACTAATACACTGATTTAAAGCCCTTTTCTCCACTAATTTGCCACCTCAATAAAGTCCCACATTTTAACTTGTTATTCTATTGGCAGGTTTATCTATCTCTTAGGTTTATAGGGCTTTGCTTTGTCTTAAAAACTAAGCAATCCCTCTAGTTTATTAATGTTTTACAAAGTTTCCTGTTCAGTATACACTGATAATTTATAAATTTCTTTTTATTTAAATCTAGATATTAAGGGAAGTTTTTGTGAGCATCTGGGTAAAACCCTAAATTTCAGAAGGCAGCTGACTTAAATATTTGAACTATATAGTCAAAGAGCAATTTAAACAATTTGAGATATTAATTTAGTTGGACTAATACACATAATCAAAATCAATGTTAATTTCTTAAAATAGCCTTATCTAATTTAGTTTTTGTCTCTGACATTTTTAAAAAAACATAATTTTATTGATTTCTGAGAGGAAGTTGAGAGGGAGGGAGAAATAGAAACATCAATGATGAGAGAGAATCATCGGAACTGTGACCTCCTGGTTCATAGGTGGATGCTCAACCACTGAGCACACAATTGGGCTTGTCTGTGGCATTTTGACTAGTATATCAGACACCATTCCTCTATAGAATTCAAAAAATGACCATTTACTCAGGACTAGTATTAGTAAATAATCATTGTTGGCAGGTTAGATAAAATTGTTTCACCTACACAGCATTGTTAATGTAGTATAATATATTTTGCCATTAAAAAAATTAAACCTAGTTGGTTTAGCTCAGTGGATAGAGTATTGGCCTGTGAATTAAAAGGTCCTGGGTTCGATTCCAGTCAAGGACAGGTACCTCAATTGCAAGCTCCTCTCCAGCCCAGGCCCTAGTCAAGGCATGTGCAGAAGGCAAGCAATGGATATGTTTCTCTCACATCAATATTTCTCTCTGTCCTTCTCTCTCTCCCCCACTATCTTTAATATCAATGGAAAAATATCCTCAGGTGAGGATTATAAAACAAACAAAAAATAACAACAACAACAAAAAACAGTTAAATCTACTCTGATGAGTTGTCATTTTTTTATCCTACCTGATTTTTAATATGTTTTGGTTAAAAACCTACCACTAATGTAATTAGTTAATCATCTACATAGCAACTACAATAGTAAAACTTTGCCCTTATGACATATGACATTTTTTGTAGAACTTTTTATGAGTAATGAAATTAGGTTAAATAGACATGATTTTATGCTTAACAAAAAGGAATCGCTGATTTCAGTTACTTATGGTATTCAAGTTACTTGGGGGTAATTGTAGTATTGCCATGTGCTTAATTTATAAATTATGGCTTCTTTGTTTATTTTAAAGTGGCATCCTAATCAAACCATTTTGTATTTGTGTTCATATCTTGGATTTGAATAGTTCACTTGGTTCTCTAACAAAATAATTTATGTTTATACCTTAATGTATTATGAGAGAGATAAATTTAAAAAGCAATGCCATTTTCAAAAGCATAAAAAACAATAAAATACTTAAGAATAAATTTAACCAAAAAGGTGAAAGGCCTGTACACATAAAAGTATAAGACATTGGTTTAAGAAATGGAAGTAGACACAAATAAATTAGAAGATATTCTGTGTTCTTTTATTGGAAGAACTAGAGGCACGGTGTGTAAAAATTTGTGCACTCGGGGGGTTCCCTTAGCCAGGCCTGTGCCTTCTCGCAGTCTGGGGCCCCTCAGGGGATGTCCACCTGCCAGCTTAGGCCCGCTCCTCGGGGGATAAGGCCTAAGCTGGCAGTCAGATATCCCTCTGGCAGCCTGGAGACCTCAGAAGATGTCCACTTGCAAGCGGGGAGCAGGCCTAAGCTGCAGTTGGACATCCTTAGCGCTGCTGAGGAGGCGGGAGAGGCTCCCGCCACCACCGCTGTGCTGGCAGCCATCAACCTGGCTTGTGGCTGAGCAGAGCTCCCCCTGTGGGAGCACACTGAC